GCTGGACTTCCCAATATGGTGTGGTAAACCGCTTCGAAATCAACAACTTGAAAGCAAACATTCTCTATTGTTGGTATTTCTTACGACCACAGATAAATCCGTAAGCGCATGGAATACCGTTGTAGCATTTCACCTTCGGGTAAGCAGGCTAGGCCCTAGAGATGACTTTCTATGTGTTTTAATTATCTAAGCTAAGTTAAAGGTAATTTCCTATTGGTTGCTTCGGGCACCGACTCCTACTGGTCTGCCAGCATGGTTCTAACTATAGTTCTGTGATGTACCTGAATGTGGAGGATTACTTGGAAGGGATTCATGGCTGTCACCACCTGACGTCTACCTCTGACAAATCCATGGAATACACAACAAACAAAGGTAATATCTAACCTACACGCTATGTCTATAAGTTATTAATTACTACGCTAATACTTGCACAGAAACTTCCTTCTTTATCTAGAGTCCTAGTACTAGAGCACTTAGTACGAATACTAAACAATGAATCTGCAAAGATGAAAATATATCTGTTGAGGACCTCTGGTTGAGTCCCACAAACAATGAACCCACAATGATCATTGCTATGGTTGTTGACTGACCCCTTTGGCCTCCGATCTCGGTTGTTGCGGCGTTGTGCATTGGAGAGTGTATGCTCCCTACTGCCCACAGGTGGTCGGCGATCCCTAGACGGGTGGGGTGATGGAAGTTGGTTGCCGACTGGTATTCTGGGCGTCTTAGCGATGGATTCTACAGTTGGATCCTGTGATCGCTGAGAGCCTCCAGCTCCTTGGTCATGTTGAGCAGCGGTTGCGACAATCATGGTGTTGACTCTGTTCAATGCAGGAGTCATGGCTTATGGGCAGCATCGAGGAGGGTATCCAGTAGCGTGACGGCGACGGCAGCATTTTGTTGAGGCGTGGCGTAGACATTGGTGTCATCGATGCGAGTCTGCTGAATGATGTTGTTTGTGTGCGTTGCGCCTGCTTAGGATTAGATCTTGCCTATGGGCTACATGCTCTTCTTCCGCTTTGTGGGTTTCTTCTCAACGACGATCATCCTCCCTGCGTGCTTGCTCCTTCGCAAGCTCCCTTGCCAACCAAGCTGCGGCAGCTTTGTCATCCTCAGGACCAGCTATAGCAGCCATGAAGACTTCAAAGATCGGAACTAGGTCATCGATATCATTGTCGTAGATGGTATCTCTGCTGTAGTCGTCAAAGCTGTTGGAGTACTCGAGGTTATCCGTGATACTGTAGTAGTCATCCATGTGTTGAATAATGATGCCCACCTCCCTAGGCCCAGATCCAGATCTGGCATAAGCACACCCTGATCGGAACCTAGGTGGTGAAGGAGATCAGGATCCAAAAGTAGCGGCGAGGAGCGGAGGTAGCTGCATGGATATCTGACGATAAGTCACCATGTTGGTGGAGGTGTACGGCCTTCCCAAGTGGATCAAATCCGAGCTACGAAAAGCCACCTTTTGGTAGGTCTCAGCCATGTTTGGAAGACCGAACGGGGCCGAGTGGATGTAGCCCTCCCTGAGTGGTTTGAATCCGAGACAAGGAGGGAGATCTTGCCAAAAGTGTCGGTGATAAAGTAGACGCTGCTAGAGTGGTACACCTGTCCAGGTGGAAAGACGAAGTCACCGGCTCCTGAAGTTGATCCCATCGCACTTGTCGGCGGAAAACTCGACTCAACCCCTACCTGACATGCCAACTGCCAATTCTACAAATCGACAATAAGCAAAGGGAGTAGTGCATGAGATCAAAAGTAGATTAGTAAAGGGGACAAGGTTTAGAGAGGTTCAGGCCTTCTCGATAAGAAGTAATACCCAACTCTTGTTTCGTGAATTGGATCCACCGAGTGATGTATTCATCTGACGATCGAGTTGTGATTATGCTTTCAAGAGCCCCCTTGCCCTCCTTATAGATGCAAGGGGCAGGGTTACAAAGGTAGAACCCAACCCGACACGGTATATGTTTTGTTGTCTATTACATAATTGTATGTAACTAAGACTCATGAGACCTGCTGTAGGAAAGAAGGCAACAACAGTCCTGAGTCCTAATCTATTACATGATCCCTAACTCGGCCTACCTCCTATCTCCAGTCAGATATCTAGGCCATGTGGGGTATGGGGTGTCCATAATATCCACAGGTGGAGGGCGTCGAGCTTCGGACATCGACCCCGGCAGCTGAGCTCAGGGATGGCACGAGCGTGCTGGAGATTGAGGATGAAGCGGGCAGAGGTTGGTGTTGGATCGGCGGTGGCATAGCTCAGGGACGACACAAGCAAGGTCGAGCTCAAGGACAGCCCGGACATATGTACAAAGACCACGTCGGCTATGCTCAGGGACGAATGATGACAATGATGGCATTGGCGGACGGATGGCAGCTCGGTTGTCGTGAATGGTGGTGGACAGACGACAGTGAGGATAGCTTCATCTTCATCCCTTCTTGATCCTTCAGGAGTGTTGGATAGTATGATATGGAAGGAGTCCATACAAATCAATCTTATCCTAACATGACTCTAACTACGATATACTCGTAACACGGAGCTCACTGGCATGTGGGAGGAGCTCGCTGGCGGTGGCAGATGTGCGAATGGATGGCACGACATGGACTGTACGACACGTGGTGCGTGGTTTGCGAGGGATGGAGTGGCTCGAATAGTCAGTGGCAAGGAGAGTTGCTTATACATTGTGTGAGTGTAGATTATTGATAATTAAGAAAAAAAATCAAGGGACTGACAAATAGCAAGCTGATATCTAATTGATGATCTAAAGGTTCTTTTTACAGTTTCTTCAATTTCGTACAAGAGAATAAAAAGGGCAATGCTGGTCCTAATTGAAAACTAAGGGGCTGTTAAATTTGTTGCCAAATTTAACCCTACCAAATTTTGACTTCACCAAAATTTGGCAAGCTAAGAATCTAAACATTGTCAAAAATTACTTCCCCTATTAAAGTTTTGTAATTCTGGAATCTTCTCTCCTAAAAACATGACGTAGGTAGTAAACTAAATATAACCTACACATCTCAACCTAATCAAATATTGGTAATGCCGCGAAGTGAGCGTAGCACAACTAGTTAGATTCCTTGTGGTGGAACCAACCCACTTATGTTCAAGTTCTAGACTTAGACATTTGTGCTCGTATTTACCGCTAATTATTATTTAAGTGGTAAGCAATGTATCCGTCAATAGGGAGGTGCCTATGTTATATATCCCAGTCTTTTGGAGATGCTCATAGGGGGTAGGGTATGGAAATATTTTTTAAGACTTTTTTATGTTTTAATTTTATTAATAGATCATTCCAAAAAATATTTCCAAATCTGAACCTTTTGGCGGCCAAATAACTCTATCACGCCACGCATAGCTGGCGTGGCCAAAAGGTTCAGTTTTCGGAAATATTTTTTGAAAAGGTCTATTAATAAAATTAAAAAAAAAGAAAGTCTATAACATAAAAAAATTCTAGGGTATGCGTATATGCGTTCATAGGGATGAGTGCGCACACGTTTTGAGCGTTCGCGTTTGTACTTTGTTTCTAAAAAAAATATAGTGATGATCATTATATATAGAGATTTGCTACTATCCAGCACTTTGTACCGGGTGGTACCAGTTACTGAAACAAATCCGGCCGTCCAGCTTGATGGGGTAGGATCGGGAGCGAGAGACCACGACCCTATCACGCGAGCCCTATCTCCATCCTCGCGCCGCCGCATTATCATCGCCTGACCCCATCGCTCATTTTATCCTCCCTCCGCCACGACTAATGGAGCACCACCGCTGCATCAGGCATCTCCTCGACCACTGACGACCTGGAGCACAACCCGCGCTATCGCTGGAACCTTGGCTGTAGATGACTCCACCACTAGTGCCGCTGCAGCCCCGGAGCACCACCTTACGAGGATAATTGGAGCACCGCCCCGCAAGCAGCTTGTCGTAGCCGCCTGGTCCGACGACTCCACGACCTCGCCACCATGGCTGCCAATGCCCCCGCTGCTGCCGCAGCGCCTCCTCCGACCTCTCCACGGGCACCTCGCCGTCGCGGTCGCCAATGCCATCCTCCGACGCCGCATCGACCTCTCCACGGCCACCTCGCCGCCGGGACCGCCAACACCACGCATCGACCTCTCCACGACCACCTCGCCGCCGTCGCCATCGGCGCCGCTGCCGCCACATCACCACGGCGCAGATGGATAAGAACGAGAGACTTAAGCAATGCAGTATCACCCTTCCCACGTGAAAATACAGTATTGCCCTTCCACCTCTCTCAATAGTGCCGGTACCATCACATGGACCAAAATGTACTTGGAGGTACTAGACCTTGCTGTTCATTGGATCGGACAAAATCAAGGGCCCAGATTTGGTACCGGGCAGCCTGCTGGACGGTAGCAACTCTCTTACATATATATGTGTATATATATGGGACACTCATATGGGGCACCATGGTGCCCGGGCACCATGGTATCAAATACACAAAATCACTCAAATTTTTCAAAATTTTCAAATTGTGAGTATATACCTAGTTATAATAACTCGATTCATACCTATACCTATCAACAAAACAACTCAAATTTAACTTTATTTCACAATCCATGATTACATACCTAACTAATTATATGTATGGATGCTATATACCTAGAATCAAAATCTAACAAAAACAAGTTCAAATTCAGTTCAAACTTGCTTTGAACTAGTTAGTAAAGTAGCTAATGTTAATATCTAAGTAATTGAAAAAGTTTCATACTCATTTGAATTAGGTATATACTCAATTTCAACAATGGTGCCCGGGCACCATGGAGCACCAAACAAATTTACTATATATATGTATATATATATATATATGTATGTATATATATATATATCTCTCTCTCTTACCAAACCGGAAAAACAACCTTAGTCCTATCAAGTATGATTGCATAAGCAACCTGCAGGCGGAGCTAGTTCTTTGCTAGAAGATCCAGAAGATGTATGTAGGGGAGCCATCAAAGCATGCACCAGGGGGAATGCTCTGATGGATAGACAGCTGCTGAAAGCAGCTACGCGTGATTCATTTGAAGAATCAGACAGTACGTTAAAGGAAACGGTGTCCAGAAACCGAAGCATGGTGCTCGCAAGAACTGCAGAGGGGAACACTTGCCTCCACATATCTTCCATGCATGGCCATGGCGGATTCTGCGACGCCGTGCTGGAGCTAGACGAGTCTCTGCTTTCCCTTGTCAACTCCGATGGGGAGACCCCCCTGCTGACCGCCATTACAAGCGGGCATGCTTCTTTGGCCTTTTCTTTGCTCAGGCGCTGCAATAAACCAGGGCTTAGCGATTCAATCCCGAGACATGATAATAATGAGTGTAATGCACTGCACCATGCCATTCGCGGTGGCCACAAGGCCCTTGCTCTGGAGTTGATAAGGACCCAGCCTGCCTTGTCCCAAGGTGTCAACAAATTCAATGAGTCCCCTATGTATCTTGCGTTGACTAGAGATTACAGAGATGTTTTTGAGGAATTGTTTGCAATCCCTGGTTCAGCTCATTCTGGAAGCTACAGCTACAATGTTCTTCATGCTGCTGTGAAATATGGGAATTTGCTAAATCCTATATGCAAAAGAAACAAATCATTTGGTTGTCAAGAATCGTTAATTTCCTCCTAATTTGTTTTCAGATATTGCTAAGAAAATTATGGAGTCTTGTCCATGGCTGGCCAGAGAAGAAAACGACTCTGGGCACACTCCAATGCAGATGGCTGTACGTTGGAACAAGGCTGAAATGCTACAAGTATTGTTGGAACATGATTGGTCTTTAGGATACGCAAAGAACAGCAAGACTGGAAAACCTCTGCTTGTCTCTGCTGCATTTCAAGGCCATGTGAATGTTGCTCGAGAGCTTCTCAGGCATTGTCCGGATGCTCCTTATTGCCAGGCAGATCGGTGGACTTGTCTTCATGAAGCTATAGAGTTTGGCCATACTGAATTTGTTGAATTCATCCTGGGGGCACCACAACTTGGAAAATTAATTAACATGCGAGATGGAAAAGGAAAGACTGCTCTACATCACGCCGTCCGGAAGTGCAACCCCAAAATTGTGGCTGCTCTACTTCGCAAAGGCGCTCGCATAGACTGCACAATGCTTGACCAAAATCGTGATCCAGCCATTTGGGAATTAAGCGAGGCCATGCAACATGCCAAGACTTTAAACTGGGTATGTATGATTTTTTTCTTATCCGTCATCGAACTAAGTAAACTTGCACAAGCCATATACTCCCTCTGTTTCATACAAGTAGTTTTAATTTTTTTCTAGTCATACTTCTTTAACTAAGTTTATATAGAAATTTAGCAATATCTATAATACATAACTTGTTTCATTAAAACTAACATTTAATATATTTTGATAATATGTTTGTTTTGTATAGAAAAGTATTGTTATATTTTTTGATAATATATTTTTCTATAAACATAGGTCCAACTTAAAGTTTGACAAGAAAAAAAATCAAAATAACTTACAATATGAAATGAAGGGAGTACTAAACTTGTTCAACATAAAAGACATCAACTTTAATAAAAAAATAAAGTGCCACATTTAGCTGGCTTTGTTTTTTATTTTCTGGGTTAATCTAGATGCACTATTTTCTTATCTAAATCATTTTTTTTATCCTGATAAGAATTAACATCAATGCATAATATTTTATTTTTAGGTAGGGACACAATTTGTTTCATCACAGAAAAAAATACGCACAAGGATGAGTAATTGATGTTGATGCAGTATTAAAAGGTGAGTGATACATAAGAAGGAAATCACTTAATTAACAAACAGATGTTTGCCTTGTACACAAACTAGCAAATATCACAGAAAATTCAAAAAAAAAATTAAACACATACTTTCAATAGTATTACAGCTATAGGTGAAATATTGTATTCAGATTAATTATATTATAGCAGAAAAAGGATAAAATTCTGATAGATTTTTACTCTTAAAACTATTGTATATTGTTCACTTTTTTGTTACATCTAAAATATAATGATTTTGAATAGGAATTATCTCCTAAACTATCATGGTCGTCTGAATTACGTACCATCTGAATTAAAATACTGGACAAATAACCCCCGAGGGCCCCGACTCAATCTAGAGTGGTTTCTGTCCTATGTGCTGTATACGTGGCAGATCAGTCAAGAGAAATCATTTTTAAATTCTATGGGCCCACCTACGGTTCTTCTCTCCTCTCTATCCTCTCTCCCCTTTTGCGCAGTGAACAAAACGGCGATGGCAAGGCGAAGACCTCGCCACTCGTCCTCCTCTATGCGCTTTCCTCCTTCTCACTGGTCCCCCGCCACCATTTATCACAGTCCACTGCCATGCGCGCACCGGTCCCCTCACACACTACTCCACGCCCTCCTCAGACGCTGGTCTGGGAATGGAAGGAACTCATCCGAGCTGGGATGCGGAGCTCGAGGTCGCTCCCCTTCTTCCTCGGTGGCGGCGTGCTCCTCTCTCCTCCCCTTCTCTGTGTCTTGAGCCTAGCTCCGCTGCCCAACCTCAACCAAGGGCAGCTGCGTACAGCCTGACAAGGCCAAAGCGGACACCAGCTCCAGGTTCACCACCACCTCCTCATAACCCCATCCTCGATGCCTCCTCCATGAGCCCCTCGCATGGTTCCTCCTTCCCGCTTCGGGGTGGTGCTCGGTTTCTTATCTCCTCGCGAGTCCCTCCCTTTTCTTCCTACATGCACCTCATGACCGTCTACGAGAACTTTGCTTCTTCCGCTGCAAGGACTCCGCGCCTAATCCACAATCGTCGTGGCTGTAGTCACCTCCACACCGAACCCGCCTTCTCTGCAGCTGTAGCACCTCCACGCTCAATCCACAACAATCATAGATTTAGTCACCTCTGCGCCCAACCCACCTCCATCGCCGCTGCCAAACCTCTATGCCCAATCTGCTGCCGCCACGTGCTGCAGCCACCGAAGTTGAGGGTGGACTGGTGAAGCTCGAGGAAGACCGGAAGAGTGGATAAATTGATATGTGGACCCCACCACTTTAACTTATTTTTTTTGGACTGCCACATGTACGCCATTTAGGACAAAAACCACTCCAAATTAAGTTGGGGGTGTTATTCGTTAGGTTTGAATAGTTAAGGGTGCTAAATGTCGAATATTTGAATTCAGGGTGGTAATTCGTATTACCACGAATGTTCAGGGTGTACTTAGGACTTTTTCCTTTTGAATATGAGACTTTGCAGATGTCCAATGTTTCCTAGAATTTTTCGTGATATTTGCTAGTTGGTCTACACGGAATGTGCATGGGAAGCTTTGTGTGCATACGATATGTTCCCGTCTAGTACTATCTCGTTATAATTCTATAGGTTGAATTTATTCGAAAAAATCTTCAAGAATACATTTTGAGTATTGACTTCTCATAAACTATAGTCTTAATAGCTGTAAGTGAAACGTTATATGAAAGTACTTTTAAACATGGATCTATTAATATATTTTTAATGAACTAAATATATTTATAATTTGACTAATTGCTTGGTCAAAATCCACCAAGATTGACCTTTCAAATGAAAATACACCCTATAAAATCTGCAAAGGGATGAATTTACAAAATATGAGGTACCAATTTCTAACATTAATAATCATTAAGCAGATGTATGAGTCTGCTTATCATCCCCATTTAAATACTGTTCTATTAGGCTCAGTTTGGCTCTGTGTAATTTGAAGAAATGCTAACATCTTTATTAATTGTTACCTTGATTATAAATTTATAATTGATAGCAAACAAAATGATATTTCAATTGATTTTAGTTTTCATGTGACAGCACCACACAAGCCATATCATAGGCCCGCGGTTGGCAACCATCATCACAAACTGTTTCATGAATTTATGTCAGTGAAAATATGCGGTATAGTTGCATGTATTTTTGAACCGTTTGTGAATTACCTCTATCATAGAACTAGAAACATTTGTAATAGTTCATTATCATATACGGTTTTAGTATTGAACAGTGTCTTTGATACGGCCAATTAATACTCTATTAACATATGATGGATGGTTCCAAAATTGGAGCTTCGTTATTATATTGTGAGATTCATTGTACCTTACATGCAGAGTGAAGTTTCAATGCTTATGTTGCAAGCTGATCCTAGAAGTAAGTCCACGATTGTTAATCTCTACAAGAAAGCCAAACAAAATGTAACTGAAACATCAAGGATAAATGCAAAGTGGCTAACTGAGATATACACAACCAACACTTCCTTAGTGGCTATCCTAATTGCGACAATTACCTTTGCCGCTGCCTTCACATTGCCAGGAGGATACAGCTCTAATTCAGGAAGTGAAGGGCTTCCTATTATGTCAAGAAAGTTTGCATTCCAAGCATTCTTGGTCTCTGACACCCTAGCCATGTTATCATCACTTGCTGTTGCCTTCATATGCATCTTGGCAAGATGGGAGGATCTTGAATTCTTGCTTTATTATAGATCCTTCACTAGGCAACTTATGTGGTTTGCATACATGGCAACAACTACGGCATTTGCAACTAGTTTATACACAGTGCTCGCCCCTCGGCTTACATGGTTAGCTGTGGGAATTTGCATCTTGTCAGTTTCAATGCCCATTTTTACCAAGGTGCTTGGTGAATGGCCCATCCTGAAGCTCCGGATGCAGTTAGGACCTTCTATGCCCGAATTCCTTGATATGGTCTGAAACTGTCAATTTGTATAACGTTTTTATATTCTGTTTAATTTCTAGTGTCACATTTAAGTGAATCAATGTAAATTATGTATTGTTTGAATGGTTATGATGTTCTTGAAGAGCACTGCTACGGTGCTCTCTACTAGTATTATTACGCTACAAGTAGAAATGATCAGAGCTGTTGATTTTATGTTCTATGCATTGCTTATTTGTTTTTCAAATCAAGGTTGGCTCATTCATTCAGACAAAGATTAAGATTTTACGGTCCTTGAGGAGGTACCATGAGGTACCACTTTTTCTATTGTAGATTTAGTACCTCTGGGTATCTGGATACTATGAGGTACTATGAGGTATCAAATTTTACACTAAATTTTTGTACCTGATGGTATCTCCTCAAGGACCATAGAATTGCTCTTATAATATGAGCAATTTTACGGTCCTTGAGGAGGTACCATGAGGTACCACTTTTTCTATTGTAGATTTAGTACCTCTGGGTATCTAGATACTATGAGGTACCATGAGGTACCAAATTTTACACTAAATTTTTGTACCTCATGGTACCTCCTTAAGGACCATAGAATTGCTCTTATAATATGCTATAGATACAACCAGGGATAGTTACAATTGAACTAGCCATGTCCCTTATATAGGGGTTGGTCTTGCTCTCTACAAGCCCTCCTCCACGTCCAATTCGGGATAGAATCCAAAGGAAACCCAAAACATGCCTTCCCAAGCAAGAAAACTTCGAGACCCGATGAAACAGTCCCGGACTCAAACTCTACCGATCAGACCGGCCCACTATCCGCGGTCTGACCGGCCTATACACGGCGGTCAGACTAGCCCTCACAGAGGAAAACCTGCAGACTTCCAAACTTGGCAATTTTCCCTATTTTATCCCTAGGTTCCAAATTTGGGTGTAAACACATGCCCCAGCCTTTTTGATGAACAACATGAATCTAAGAGTATAGAACATGTTTTGGTCTTAGGGCGATAATCCAATTACCAGCCATAGTACCTCCTAAGCGTCTTGCCAAACACTCGGGATTTATTTCTTCAAGTATTTCCCGTTGATTGCTCGCTGAAAACACTCTCCTTGATGTGTCTCCAAAAAATATATATTCCCTTGAACAATGTCGCATACTCGATAAGGACCTTCCCAACTAGGAGACCACTTAACGAACTCCCTGGATTGAGTACCCAAAGGCAAAATTGCCTTCCAAACCAAGTCTCCAACTTGAAACAACTTTGCTTTCAACATTTTGTTGTATACCTTGGCCACCCTCTTCTTCTCTTTCTCTATCTTTTCCAAAGCCTTCAAGCACTTGTCGATGACTTCATCGAGATTGTCTCCCATCAATGTCTTGTAATCTTCACTTGACAAATCATCTTGCTTATATATCGAAGAGAACCAAGATTTACCTCAACCGGTAAAACAGCTTCTTGACCATAAACCAACTCAAAAGGAGTTACTTTAGTAGCACCATGTTTAGATATCCTATGTGCCCACAATGCTTCAGAAAGCACCTCATGCCACTTCTTTGGGTGTTCCTCAATCTGGTTTTCACTAACTTCAATAACGTCTTATTACTCGACTCGGCTTGTCCATTAGCCTGAGCATAGTAAGGAGAAGAACCTAACAATTTAACACCATAAGATTCGGCAAAACTCTTCATTTCCTTAGACATAAAAGAAGTTCCTTGATCTGTAGTCAATGTTTGCGGAATACCGAATCTATGGATAATATGCTTCAAAATAAAGTCAATTACCTCCGTATGAGTCATATTCTTGAGCGGCACGGCTTCTGCCCACTTGGTGAAATAATCTGTAGCAACTAGTACGAACCTATGCCCCTTTGATGATGAAGGATAAATTTGACCAATGAAATCCAAAGCCCAATCTCAGAACAGCCATAGTTTGATAATAGGGTTCAACAAGGCGGCGGACGCCAATTGAACATTGCCGAACCGTTGACAAGCCTCACATCCCCTATAATATTTGAAGCAATCCTCAATCATCCTCGGCCAATAGAACCCTGCTCTCCTAAGCAACCAATTCATCTTATGGGCCGATTGATGAGTTCCACAAATTCCTTCATGCACCTCTCCCATAGCCATTTTAGATTGACCATTTTCTAAGCACTTCAATAGAACTCCATCTATATTTTGGCGATATAATTCTCCATGAAGCAATGTATATTTGAACGCTTGCCACCGAATCTTCCGATCAACCTTAAGTGTAGGATCTTTCAAATATCTAATGAAAGGAATTCTCCAATCTTCTTATGTTTCCTGGGCACAAATGTTCGAATTTACAATTAATTTGGCCTTTAAATCAATTGTGGCGTGCCCCCCAGCGCTCTGTCCAATTCCGAATCACCAAACTCTTCCACGTGCTTAGCTCCAATCATCTCCATCACTTGTAAGCCGAATAATCAAGCCGAATAAAGCCGAATAATAAAGCATTGTATTCGGCTTGATTATTTGTACAATAATATTCCAAACGAACCGATGCCTCATATCATATGCCATTAGGTGAAAATAAAACTACCCCAACACCTTGACCTTCTTTGCTAGAAGAACCATCAAAATAAATCCTCCAAGGTATAACTTCAACTAAGCAAACCTCTTCCTCATAAGCAATATCTACATGATGGTTTACTATAAAATCAACAACAATTTGGCTACTCATAAATTTCAACGGTTCATAAGCCAAATCATATTCAATCAAAGCATATGCCCACTTGCCAATTCTCCCACTTAGAATTGGCCTTTGCAACATGTGTTTAATAACATCGGCTTGACAAGCAACTATGCATGTACTAGATAATAAATAATACCACAACTTGGTACAAGCATAGTATAGACAAACAAAGTCTCTCTATAAAGACATACCTCGTTTCAGCATCCAAAAGACGACGGCTCAAATATGTAATGATATATTCCTTGCTATCTTCCTCTTGTGTCAAAATGGCACCAATGACTTTGTCTTCGGAGGCAATATATAACCGAAACGGCATTCCGGCTTTAGGCGCCCGCACCACGAGTGGAGTAGATAAATACCTTTTCAACTCTTCAAATGCCTCTTGTTGTTTTGCCCCTCACGTAAAATCGGCTTCTTTTTTCAAGCGAAGTGTAGGGACAAAAGTATCGATTTTACCCGCTAGGTTAGATATAATTCACCTTACCTAGCAACTTTTGAATTTCATTCTTGCATGTCGGCGCTTTGAAATAGTGAATCTTTTCTATCTTCTTAAGATCAATCTCAACTCCTCTTTCATGCACCATGAACCCTAAGAACTTCCCCGCCGACACACCAAAGCACACTTAAGTGGATTCATCTTCAAACCATACCGGCGCATCGTCTCAAAAGCTAACTTCAAATCGGTTATATGTCCTTCCATACCATCTGATTCGACAACAATATCATCAATATAGATTTCTAAGATAATACATAGCAAATCATGGAAGATTAAATTCATTGCCCTTTGATATGTTGCACCGGCGTTCTTCAATCCAAAAGTCATGACCACCCACTCAAATAAACCAACAAATCCCGGGCACCTAAAAGCCGTCTTGTACATATCCTCTTCCGCCATAAAAATTTGATTGTAGCCGACATTACCATCCAAAAAGCTAATCACCTTATGACCCGAGGCATCATTGATCATCATGTCGGCTATAGGCATAGTATATTCATCTTTGGGAGTAACTTTATTTAAATATCTATAGTCTATGCAAAATCTAATCTTACCACTCCCCTTCTTCTCCACCAGAACTATGCTAGAAACCCACTCCGCATAACGACATGGCCTAACAAACCCCGCCTTCAATAACAGTTCAATTTGCTCTTTCACTCGGTCATATAGAAAAGGATTGAAACGACGAGGTGGTTGTTTATGAGGCCTAAAACCCGGTTTAATTGGAAGTCGATGCTCAACAAGATCACGGCTAAGACCCAGCATTTCATGATACTCCCATGCGAAGCAATCAATATACTCCTTAAGTAGCTCGATTACTTTAACCTTATAATCAGCTCTCATGTATTTGTTTACAAAAGTTGGCCTCGGTTTAGTACCATCACCTATGTCTACTTCCTTCAACGGATCGGCCGATGTAAACCCTTGACCAAGCTTTTCTACTTCATCAAAATCTTCAATAGTTTCACCAATATCGTTCTTTGTAGACCGATATTCTTGCACCCTCTTTTGCAACCACTCTAAATTAGCTTCTTTACTCATTGTGCAAAGTAATATGGCCTAGCCGTGCTAAGCTAGCCGACATTATAGAGATAGGTACAAATTTGCCATTGGAGATACTAATAAAATTATAGCTAGATAAATCCATCCCCGATAAGCATTGAATATACCCATGACGCCACTCAAATGTAGCATCGGTCATTGCAACCTTGGCCGATGTATCCGCTTGAACAATTTCAACATCATCGCGGTCGCATTGAATTAAACATTAATTCAAGGTAGAAGGCACACAAGAATTGGCATGGATCCAACAATGACCCAAAATAACATTGTAGTTACCTTGCACATCGACGATGAAGAAAGCGGTTGGCAACGTCTTGTTCCCCGCGGTTAGCTCCAACGAAAAAATACCCTTCGCCTCTGTTGGTTCACCATTGAAGCCATTGAGAATCATGTTAGTCTTCTTTAATTCATCATCTCCATGCCCCAACTTCTTCAACAATGAGTATGGCATCAAATTCACGGCGGCGCCTCCATTCACCAACATCCTAGAGACCAGCTTTCCATCAATATGACCTTTGAGATAAAGAGACTTCGTATGACGGTTTGATTCATCGGGCTTCTCAAAAACGCATCTTTAGGACCTAGTGAAAATTGAGCAACTTCGGCTTCATCCATAACACAAAACTCCATAGGCAACATACATACCATATTGAGATCCATGTCACCCTTTAGAGATGAATCATTCTTAGCAATCGATTGTTCTTCCTTCTCCTTTTGCTCAACAACCGATTCTTCGATATGTATGGACTTACACCTCCACATCTTTGTAGGCGGTGGTCGCAACTCGTTAAACCTTCTA